TTTTTTTTTAATTAAAGTTTGCCTGTGAGACACTGGCTTTATATTGACCTTTACCTCGGACCATGTTTGCTTGGAATAAACAGAGAAGGGATGTAAAGAAAACAGCTCAATTCAATCATATCATGGAAATGTTCTGTGGGTGAATCTACAAACATTCAGACGCAACTAAATCAGGTTAATAAAAAGCTGATCAGTGTGTGTGTGAGAGAAGCCAGTTTTAATGCACATTTAAAAGCTTTAAACATCTTACATATATTCCAAATAACAGAAAAAAGGTAAGGGTGAGCAGTGGGAGAAATACTGAAATATCTAACTTTCCCAACCAGCTTAACATGGACATGCACTCTAAATTAGACAGCATGCAAGAATCTGGTGTTTTTTTTATGTGGAATTTAAGCTAATATGTTCAGTATCTGCTTTTCACATTACTAAAATCACCACAGTCCAGTTCGTGCTCCATCCTTGGTTACAGTTAGATCCTCACATTGTGAATCAGTCTCAGAAAAACCAAAACAAGAGCAATTATCCAGAGCAGAGCATCAAATAATTTTAAAAAACAAATGTGAACATAGACAGAAAAACTGTTCATACTCATTGGGACTTTTGATTCTCGCCTCCAGGCTGACTGAATTTTGCCACAAAATTATCCTTTTTCTGTCCAGTTTCGATCTTAGATGTTACTGATCTTTTTATATCTCTTCCAAAGGAGTTAACTTTTTTGGGGCATCTAATTTATCTTAAAAGTCTTTTTTCCAATTGAGAAAAAAAGATAACGCTGTGTTCATCCGTATTTTTTCCCTCTTTTTTGAAAGATTTTGGAACGTCGACAGAAGCTGATAAAGAGAGCAAATGAGGCAGACTTTTTAGACGGCAGCAGAGACTGATGGAGAGAGTCAGACAGAGAGCAGCGAGGCTCCCTCAGCACCAATAGGTCTGCTTTTGGAAAAGAGGAGGGGGAGGAAGGGGGGGGGGCGGGGGGTTGCTCGGATTAAGAGGCTGAAAAATGGTTAAAACGTGTCAACGTGTAATTGCACGATAAGGCCCCCTCGCGAGGAATCTGTTGGCCCCGTTGCTATTTTCTATGGCGTCCCCGGCTAATCTCCTCGCGCCACATTCAGTCTTGTGCAATCGGTCCCCCGTAATCTCCCATGACAGAACCGGGTCCAACGACAGAGGTGAGGGTTTTTATAGGAGGAGAGGGAGGGAAATATGCGGAGGCGTGATAAACTGACGCTGATTATCCACGTTCAGGACACCAGGAGCACATGGAATGGATTGGGGAAGGGGAGGGGAAGCGGGTGCACGGGGTTATGGAGTGGGACGTGCCAAAGCAGTGGTGTCCAAACATGTGCCAAGCTGAACATGAGGAGAGGAGGAAGACCTGCAGACACATGACTGTGGATCTCCGGATGCACAGGTCCAGCCCTCAGCCTCTCCTGATGATAGAAGCTGCTGCGTATAGCACAGTGTGGACCAGACCGAGCTGCACTTCTGACTGATGCATGCGCTGATTGATGTCTTTTTGCGTGGCGTATCTAGACAAGTGTCACTCGGGTATAATTTCATCTTACCTGGGTTTCGCGTCACATCAGGACCCGAGGATAAGCCTGATCATTTGAGTCCCACTTCTCTGATAATAGTAATTACTGACTCCCTTTCTCTTACACTTTGCGGAGGAAACGCTCCCATCATACCTCGAGGTTTAGCGAATCAATCAGAATAGCTGCGGCAGAATCCTCCACTTTCCCCTCTGCCATTTCCCTATCATCATATTAAGACATTTGCGATCAAAAAGTCCAATCAGAGCGGTATTCAGAGGCAATCATCTCACCTTTTATCACAATGAACAAATAATAATATCCTGCAGAAACAAGTTTTTGATGAGTGATAATTAAATAGTCAAATATCTCTTCACTTTTTTTTTTGTTTAAATTATCTTTATTTTTTAATCCCCATTCTTCCACAGGAAGCCACGCTTTAGAAATGCGTCGAGGAGCTGAGAAGGAAGTGAAGTTAACTTCCTGCTCAAACTTGGCGTTTTTGCAAAGACTGCACGACGCTCTTTTTCAGTAGCGCTTCATTTCATGCAGCACGAAACCTGATTTGCAAGTCTTTTACAGCCTCAACATCTGGCCGATAATGTTGTAAACTCCATGAACAAGAACATGAACAAATGCGGAATGGGGTTTATAAATGTAACAGGAAGTATTCTAAAGTAACGAAGAAAAAGTTCATCTGTACCTGACGTCAGTTGGGTTGTGTCAAAACTCAGAAAAATCTCTCTAATGTACATCATTGCATTTAGAAATGATTTTGTTCTTATAGATTCTAGTTTGCTGTTTTGTATTTTAGCTTCTATATTTACAGTATGTATTTAAAAAGAACTTACCTTACAGTGAGATACTTTGAGCTGTCCGCGTTAGAACACATGACCTTTAACCTCTGATCTTGAGCTCAGTCAGAATCTGGAGTCTTGCGTTTAGCCGTGGACGCTTGCATGGAGTTCCACAAAGTGTCACCTGTGTGATGTCCGAAGAGCATTTTTTATTCTGCTGTCTGTTTTTAACACGGTCTTAGTTTTAAACTTTTCCCAGCCTGCTTGGATCAGAGTCCATGTTGAAACATCCACTGACCTGTTAAAGCTTTCTGCTAACTAGTTCATTTTGTTTTTTCTTGTTTTAACCTTTTGTTGAAAATAATCCAAGTAGTGTCTTGTGAGCTCCTAAATGACCCCCTCTTTGATTGATGGGCTGTTTTCCTGCGTTAAAAATAAATCCTGATGATAAAAGTCTGTCATAGCGTATCGAAATGTTAGCAGCTTTTTTAATATCAGAGAGCAAAGACAGAGCCAAACAAACCTGGCATTTTATGTAGGGAAAGAAAGAAATTATATAAGACCAACTGTGTGCATATTAAATACCTGCTGGAATCATCTTTACTAGATGTGACTCGCATCCACGCTGCCCTCTCGCTTTTGAGTTCAGACCCGAGTGGGAATTAGTCTGATAAAACCACGGGTGTTGTTTGCCGGGCTTTTTGTTGGGGGTGACCTCCGGGTTGCCCCGGCTTACACCAGGACTAATCCCCCATTCTTCTCCAACACAAAAACCTCCTCTCCTCTCCTCGCCTTCTCCCTTCCTACCTCCTCCTGCCCTCATTCATTGCTCGCTCCCAACCCAGGGGCCTCAACAGATTCAGCCATCAAATTTAAAAAAGGAAATAATGTAACAACCGTGACAATTGCACATACAGATGGAGGCATTTGATGCTGGAGGTCATGGGATGGGGTAAGATTTGAGGGCCGGCAGTAGAGTAAAAGCACCCAGGTGAAAGCGAGCGTTGAAGTGGGCCTGAGTGAGGGCACTGGGTGAATTGGTAGTGCACTGACTATCGGATACTTGCGTTATTGGATTTTCTTCAGATTGCTGAGGTCATGACCCTGCAGTAAATAAGACTGAAGAGGAAAACCAAAAACAAACAAACAATTAAAAATTATTATAATAATAATATTTTGTCTTGGCCTATAAGTACAATCATTAAAGAAGCCAGGTGCACATTATAAAGTAAGTTTTAAATTATCAAGTAAGATCGGGTAGGTCAAACTGATGATGGAGACAAAAATGTCCTCTCATCCTAAAGAAGGGTGTATTTTAGCCGGACATGATTTCCACAAACGCACACACTGAGGCTATTTTATGAGTAATGTTTTCAAATACATATCCTACGTGTGTTTTTAGAATTTGGATGTAAGAGATACTGAAAAATAAACAACAACAACATGAAACAATTTCTCAAAATGGAAATAAAATAAAGCTTTGTATCTATCTATGGATGCGAATTACATGAGGGACAGTATTAAACATAGATATTAAAGAATAAAGGCACAGTTTATTATATATTTAAGAAAAAATAAAAGAAATCTTGAGTATTAGGACAGTGTTTGGCTAAAAATGTAGTCAATTTTTGTCTATATTTTAACCATCGACTGCACTCTTATAAATTATCAGATTACAAAATATAGGATCCTATGTTGTCAGCACCTGAGTGTTTATTATTTTGAAATGCTTTTTAAAAAAAATTCTAGTGCAGAAAACCCCAAATATAAACAAACACACAACAAAGACGATTAAAAAAAAAATCTGCATTTACACCAATGAATCTGAATCTGTTCTCAGATGTCTGTTATCATCTTAATAATGATGATGAAAAGAGTAATGATGTAATCATGTAATGTAAAGAGTGATGTTAAGATTTTAATGGCGGGTAAATACCGTTTTTTAACTGTATCAATAAAACATAAATAAATTTTAAAAAAGGCTCGATCAGAATGAAGAGCAAAACCTGATCATGTTTTTATCAGAGGAGAAATCATCTATTAAAAACGCCGAGACTAATTCAGGGCATGCTATTATCAAAGTCACCTCTGTGGTTAGGAAACAGGCGTGCGTGCAACGTATTAATTATTATTTATTTCTTGTTTTGTGCATTTTTTGACCAGATTTGTTTTTCCCCGTCTACTTTAACGTTAATCCAGCCATACAAGGACGAGCATGTGTCGTTATATCCTAACAATACAGCCGATGTAGATAACCAGGAATTCTCAGAGCAGTTTAAATATGCAGACATTAAACACACCACGAGCTTTCTCCAAGACAGAAGAAATTCTTTAAAATTTATTAAACTCGCCGCATATTCGTTTCCTCTTTAACCCCGCCCCCTCCCTCAAAAGAAAAAGAAATTGCGCATTTTTATAAATTATGTACAATTGCATAAAAGCGTTTTCAGTAGGCCTATTTATTCACAATTTACAAGATTTTACAACAACAAAAACAAAATTCAAATTACACCGACTGACTCACATGTTTACAAGCATTAAAACTGGAAATCATTTTTAAAAACTGCAGCCTAGAAACTTTTTTTTTCTCCTTAGTCTTCTTCTCCAACACATCTTCCATTCCCGCCCTCCGCTCATTTTTCGGACAGCTTTTATGGATCCCTTAAACACACCGCTGGTGCCTTTAATTCCACAGAAAAGTCGGGAAAAAAATAACCTTCAAATCGCACCAGCACTTCACGGATTATAATTTAAATCGTGTGAAAAAAATAAAAAACAAACAAAACAAACAAACAAAAAAAAAAACCACTTGGCATGCTCTGTTCCAGAGAGCGATAGTGAACCGTGTGCGCTTTCCTTTAAACTCGGACAGACAGAAGAATCCATCACTGAAAGAAAAAAATATAATAACGATAAAAAAAAGTTTGTTCAAAGTGATTGCATTTTTATGGCTATAACCGCCTATAATTTACAATTCATCAGCAGCTCGTGCCCACATCTAGAGTGTAAATATTTGGTTGTGGTTTGTGGTGCTTGCAGGACATGTGGGGGGGTTTAAATGTGGGTCAAAGGAACCGTCCCGTTTACCGGAGTGGAGCCGCTGCTCTGGTAGTGCTGCGGGTGGAGCACATGCAGTCTGCTCTGAACGGAGGAGTCCCCCGCCACCTCACCGGTCGGCAGATACATGCTGATCATGTCCCGCAGGTCCCCCGTGGGGCACGGCGGCGGTGCGCGCGCGGTGGACACCGGCGGGCTCACGCTCGGCTCAGATTTCACGAGAGACCCCAAAGTGCCGCCGATGGCCCCGGACACCGGAGACACGCCGGAGCTTTGGTGCTGGTGGGTGTAGCCGGTAATGCCACCGTAGCCCGGCGGAGACGCGCTCATATAGCTCTGAGAGTTTGAGATGGGGCTGTAAGATAAGGCGCTCATGTCGTACCTGTGCACGGGCTGCGGGTTGTGCGGGTGGTGGTGCGGGTGATGGTGCGGGTGGTGCGGGTGAGCCCCGGTGCCCGGGTGTTGCGTGTACGCCAGCTGCGCCTCCTGCATCATGGCGTGAGCCGCCGCCGCTGCCGCCGCCACTTGGCCCGAGTACGCGCCGTTGGCCCAGCCGTTCACGTGCGTGGCGTAGCCTGCGTTTGGCCCCGCGTGCCCCCCTCCGGGGCTCTCGAGCCGCTGCCCGCCGCCCATCCCCACAGCCGCCGAGGAGCCGAGGAGCCCGCCGGCCAGCGAGTATTTGTCCTTCTTCAGCAGCGTCTTGGTCTTTCTCCGCGGCCGGTACTTGTAGTCCGGGTGTTCCTTCATGTGCATGGCCCGGAGCCGCTTCGCCTCGTCGATGAACGGCCTCTTCTCCGCCTCCGTCATCACTTTCCACTCGGCGCCGAGCCGCTTGCTGATCTCTGAGTTGTGCATCTTGGGGTTCTCCTGTGCCATTTTCCTCCGCTGACCCCGGGACCACACCATGAAGGCGTTCATGGGTCTCTTGATCCTCTCCTGTGGGACTTTGCCTCCGGCCCCCCCGCCTCCGCCTCCCGCGTGTCCCCCCGGGTTGGACGGGTTGGTCTGGGGAACCACGGGGGAATGTAAGTCCGTTTCCATCATGATGCTGTACATTCACCTCGTCTTTGTGGGACACCAGTCAAACACGAAGAAACATTCAGGCTGGCCCGCGCGCGCAGCAGCTAAACCTCCGAGGGAGAGATGGATGAAGAGTGAAAGAAGCAGAGAGAGGGGATGAAATCCGCTCAGAGGTAAACCTGCTCCCGCACTTCCTCCGTTTTCACCTCTTTTTTTCTTCCTCTTTTTTCAACCCCCTCTGTCATCCACGAGCGCAGACAAGAATGGAAACCGCTTGTTTGAGCTTACTTTGGTTGAAGCTGTAGTGGGGAAAAGTTACCGGAGCGTGCCCGGGCCGCGCGCTTTGACAGCAGCTAAATGAGCGCGAGACGGCCAATGGAGAGGCTCGAGCGCAGACGTGATTTGCATGCAGGGAGGGGGGGGGGGGGGGGGGGGCTCGAGGTTCTGGTGACGTCGGAGCGCGAGACCTAAAAATTACTCCCTCTGTCATCTGTTTTTTTTATGTGTGTGTGTGTGAAAGAGAGAGAGAAAACACACAACATACAAACAGTTTAATTCCGGTAATTTTTGCGCACGTGCTCTTGCTTCAAACAGGCTGATTTAATCAGTGTTTACGATAAAAACAAGACGCCGTCAGGGCAAATTCACGCCACAAGCAAGTACGAATATAATACTAATATTAATAATTAATAACAACAGATTCACAGGCATCATATAAGCGTGTTAGCCCGCTGCTTACGGCCAGTGAAAACTACAAAGCAGAGCGCCTTCAGCTGCGTGTTTAGCTTTCCCGTTTAGCCGCAGCGCTATGAGATTTAATCCTTTGCTAAGTATTATACATTTAACCTAAATGGTCCCTAAAAAGCTCACCCCCACCATTTTTTTGCCTCTCATTCAGAGCCACAGGTGCTTTTCTGTTGTGCCCGTTGCTAGGTAACAGGTGAGTGACGCCCGGAGCACGTGCCATACAAAGCAGCATCTTTTGTTTGTTTCACCGGCGCTCCCGTGGCGAGCACGCACGAGAGGAAAAAGAGGAGGAGGAGGGAGGCCAGAAAACAAAAACTACAGTAATCCCATAATAAACGTTGGAAATGTTAGAGGCTCTTAATGAAAGCATTTTAATAAACTAATGAGGTCTAATAATAATAATACTAATAATAATGACGACGCTGTCAAGCAGCGGCAGGCCTGCTGCATTAGGCCCCAGATCTTCTTCCAGGCTCCTGCTTTTGCAGAGATCATATATATATATATATATATATATATATATATATATATATATATATATATATATATATATATATATATATATATATATATTCCTCTCTGAATGACTGTTCATAAATTCCTACAAATGCACAAGTCACGTTTTATTAGGGCTTCCACAAATAATCATAATCTGCACATTACTGCGTCTATTAATTGTTTGGTCAGAAAAATGTAATAAAAAAAGCCCATCACAGTTTTCCTGAGCTGACTACTCACAGTCCAAAACGGAAAGATATTCAGCTTGAAATGTAAGCATTCTGAACCCCAATAGAGAAATAATTCAAATAATTAATCAACAGGAGCTAAAAGGAGTGTAATTTATTTGCATTTGAATCTGTTTTTGGGCCCACGTGGTAGCTCCGAAGCCCTAAAATAGAAAAAAGAAAGAACACATAACAGACAGATAACATTAACATTTCAATTTGTTGTTAGGTATTCCGGTCTCCTCCTGCTTCCCTGGCTTCCCATCATGTGCAGGATCTTTTCATCCCTCTGGGATTATGCTCCCAAGTGGCATCTGTCAGGTGCTGCCCGCCTCTCAGCGAGCTGCTAAACTATATTGGCATGTTGGCACGGCTGGATTTTCCTCTCTCACTCCCTTGTACCAGTTGGGTATAGTGCTGTTAAGTGGCTTGTGTGATCTGTTTAGCGCTCACTGTGAAATCTCTCTCTGCTTTTTCTCTTTCTTTTTTTTCATGCTTCCACACACACACACACACACACACACACACACACACACACACACACACACACACACACACACACGCACGGATGTGCACATTTAAATCCAGCAGAGGAATTCTTTGAGAAATCACATCAAAAGAATTGACAGAAATCTTTCCCATTGAACAAATAATAATATCCTGTCAGTGAATGCACTTTGTGCTATTTTCTGATCTATTCATTTATTGATTTTGTGGCAGTGAGGGAGAGGGACTTTGTCACATACTGAGGGCTCACCTGACAGCTGATAGAGATTAAAACTCTTTGAGAGATTCTTTGTTGGGGACATTCGGATGGTTTCATTTACACGAGAGCCAAGAAAAAGGCCGCAAGGACACTGCTCCCACCCTGTCTGTTACTCCATCATCAGTTAATTGGTCCCGTGTGCTGTCTTACTGCAGGTGAATTACCTGCTCCAGGTAAAAGCAGCCCCTTGGATATCCCCGAAGGAAATCTGGTCTGCTTCTGATTGTCAACGAGCACCATGTTTAGTAGCAAACATTATTGCTGCTGGTTTTTTTTCCCATCTGTGACATAATTAAAGCTTGTTTGCATGCACATCAAAAGTGCAATTAGAGAATGATTAAGGCTATTTTTTTTAACAAGTTGCACATGCTCAGAGGAATATTTGAGGGCCTGGTGAAGTGTGTCGCTGTTATAGAGATCCACTTTTCTTCATTGTAGTGAAAATTTGATCTACTGGAGTCACTCTGTATTATTTGGAGAACTATTTATATGTGACCTTGAACCATATGAAGTTAGAAAAGCCAGTGCAGGTACCTTCACAATACTAATCAAATGTATCTTTATTTTTCCCTCCCTGACTGAGCCTGATTTCCAAACCTAATCAGGTATTCTCTTCATATTAATCTTCATTATCAGGTTATTCTGAAAAACAATTTGTGTTATATATTCAAAAAGCACAGAACTGGAAGTGGAAACAAATGAACATTTCATCCATCTTTTTTCTTAAGCCATGTCAGTTTTTTTTTCTTTGGTAATTTTCTTTTACTTTATTATTATTATTAAAAAAGATAAGAGTAGCTTGCTGGAGTTTGTGTTCCCTGCTGTGCCATGGAAACAGGGGTAAATGGTGACTAAGTAAATAGCTGCTGTGTTTTGCATGCATGTTTAATTGTTATTAAGGAGCTAGTGGACAAAAATAATGTGATGAAATAAAGAACTGACTCATATCAGGTTATCCAAGTGAAGCTTTATAGTATTTACAGAAGGTTAACAACATGTCAAGATTCCAGGTGGTGTAGATTTAACTGAGGGAGTGTATTGACATATGTATTGCCCTAATAACTCCTGTCAATGCAACAACTTGTGTATTATAAGTGAGGCTTTGTGCTGGCTGTGTTAAAGCTCACCAGCTCCTCAACTGCATCCAAACTATTTGTTTATTGTTCCACTGAAAAGGAAGAGAATGTTAACAAATTAAAGATGTGGGAGTGACAGAGAAAGCATGGATAATGTAGCTTGAATCATGCAGTTTCATTTTTGATAAGGCAGCATGTGACATCCACAATCATACATTATCTGCAGAAACCCGGAAGGATACAAGTAGTTTGTTCAGTGTCTCAGTGGATGAGTTAGCAGTTAGTGAAACAGTTTAAAGGAACCTGAGCAGCATTTATGTGGTTTTTAGCCATCAAAACTCCTGAGTTTGTGTGTTCAGTAATCCTGTTGTCTTGAGGTGGCAGATGATGTTGATGTTGATGAGATGCAGTTCTTCATTTTCAAGCTTCACTTCAGATCAGTGAAAGTCTGCAACAGACAGAGCAGTTTAGCAAACTTGATAGAAGGGGGGTGGGGAACAAAGCACTTTAAAAGAGGAAGCACAAAAACAACAGGTTCATTCAGACAGTTTCCCTCATTTTATACTATTATTACTGCTCTTGATATGAGCGCTGCGGTCCTGACAAGCTCAGCTAATCTAAATAAATAAATAGCCTTTCCTCAAAATCACATTCAAAAGTCATGGCCAAAGTTACAGCTTGGTTGGGTTTATTTCCCCCCCCCCCCCTAGTTTTGTGGATAAAAAAAAAAAGATGAGTGTTTTCCCTGGAACATTTATCTCTTCAGTGGTTTAAAATTAGACTAGATGCTTTCCCATCATCAAAATCCTTCACATTTCTAACAAATTGAATGCTTAAACACACTAAACACTAAAATAGCAAAAGTCCTCTGTATAAGCGAAATGACATTATTAAAATAGTTTGTACTGGTTCAATTACCTGAAAGTTGGTGCACATGAATATTTTTTATTTTTGTACTTAAAATTAAAAATTGCATATGCATGTATCCAGCAGCTGCTGGATTTTAAGCAGACAGCAGCATTGAGTGAGCCTGGACAGGCTGGAAATATCCAGACTGCTCTGACGGATATTGTTTGTGTCAGGGCAGCCAGCGGGCCGATAGCACAGTGCAGGAAGCTCTGCTGTAGGTCGACTCTGGATTTTTGGAAAGTGAGACTTTCAGATGTGGGATTAAAACAATTATTCAGTTTTTCAAGTTTATAAAAGCCAAAAAGGAATAATGAAACACTGGATGACTTCTTGTGTTATCAGACATGTTTTTTTCTTTCAATAAGCGCATTCACTGCTGTATTTTGTTATGTTTTTTTTTCTGTTTCATGGTCTATATATTAAAAATCTATGTGTATGCACTTTCAGACAGAGGTAATTCATGTAAAAGATGTTTTTTGTGCTGTCAGAAACCCTCATTTCGTCAGATGATGATCACTCTGTAGTCAATACAATATGTTCACAACTACGAAGGAAGTTCAACATAGTCAGATTTGCTTTGTGTTAGCTATCTTAACAAAGCTTAAACCCCAGTCAATCAACACAGCTTTCTTTGTTAACCCAGCTTTCTGCTTCAGCCTATGTTAAAAAAATTGACATAACTACTGTGACGCCATCCACTAGTTTCTGAAGTCCTGTTTTGAAGGCTCAAGATCAGCTTCCACTGCCGGCATGCCAAACACAGCATAACCAAGATTTACAAAATAGGAAGTTTTTTTTAATTCAGCAGAAGCTGAACGAGTGACTGAGATCATGAAATTCGTGAGGAAAATGTTTAGCAGAGATATTGTCATTAGAATGGGTGATAGAGATTTTACAAGATTATTAAAATATAACAGCAAAATGCAACACTGGTGCACTGGTGATGATAATCACAACCACGCATCAGTCGCAATCACAAAGAAGATTGTCTCAAGTTCTCTTTATTTTGCTGCTCCCAGTGTTTTTTATTTGCTGCTCTCAGCTGCACATTAAAGCTGTGAAAGTTGATTTAGCCCAGTAAAATCAGACTTTATGCTCCACATAGGTCGCTAACCTATCATTCTCACTTCATAGTACAACAGACTGGAACCTTTACTTGGTAGACTTTACCTTTCGATGCTCCTCAGCAACGTTTTTAGAACTTTAAGTTACTAATTGTATCAAAGACACTTTCCATTATCCTCATCTTTTTATAAAACATACAATAATATTGCAAAAAGGGGATTTAAAAGATATCCCAATCTGTTTAGCTCTACTTAATACATCATATCGATCTCACTCCTGTGCAGAGCACATGATCAGATATTTTTTAGATAAAACAAGGTGTTAAGGATATATTTCTATCTGCTTTTAGGCCTGAAGTCTCTAACCTATAAGTCCAAGAACACACACACACACACACACACACACACACACACACACACACACACACACACACACACACACACACACGGACACACACATTCTAACAGAATCAAAGGCATTTCTTCTGTGCAGCAGCCGACCCGGTGGGTTTGTTTAAGGCTCACTGTCACAGCAAACTGTCAGCTCTACTGGAGCTCAGCAGCTCTGACTGAACAGACAGTACACAAACACACACATGCATGCTTGCATACAGTATGAATACACAGCTGGAAGGTACGACATATGTTAAGTGTTTAGAGAAATTGTTAAGAAAAAACCTCCTGGCATAGTCCAATTAAGCTTTTCTTTAAAGAAAATGCTAGCGCCGCTTCAGATATGTTATCTAGTCATGGGCTGGCTCGTCATATAAAAGGAGCTACAGTATCACATCAGATGTTGCTTTGTTTTCTGAAAGCTTCATTTTTTCTACATCTATTAAGAGGCAATATTTACATATATATTTTGAATACTTTTAGAGCATTTCTTTCTGCTCATGTGAAAAAACACACACACGGGGGGCGGGGGTGTTATTTTAGCTGAAAAGGTACTCGTAGTAACAATGCGTACAGGTGCAGAGACACCTGCTGCAGTCGGGGGCTGTGTTCTGTATGGTTGGACTACTGTAAATTATGGTGAACATTCAACAGCTGCTTTTATTTAGATAATTCCTTATCATCCTGATAAGTTATTACAGAATGCTTTTATTTTGAAAACCTTAATACCGATCAAGAATTTAAATGACAACATATAGTGGGATTTTTGATTGGATCGGTTGTTAGTGTTTTGTGTACTGATTCTTAGCAAAATACAAACGATTTAGATCATCTGTAAAGACTCATACATGCAAGCTGAATGATTGGAAGATGGAACATTCTGACTTGTCTACAAGAATTTGCCAACTACTCGCTGAGCAGCAGTGAAACTTGTAATATATGAGGCAAAAGGAAACAGAGACCATTTGTCCTACTGCTGGAACATACGCATTAAAAATGGGACAACTTTTACTTTGAAAGCGAGTGGTCTCAGTTTCCTCTGTGCCTCACCTTTTTTTTTTTTTTTTTTTTTTACTAATGTTTAGTGACCAGTTGATGAGATGTATACTCTGCTGCACCATATACCTATCTGCACCACTGTTACACCAGCAATGGCCAGCATCAACCACTTTACTACAAACTGGGAAATACAAATCTTTCCCTATAGCGACCGGGGGTTGCTGAATGGTCTCTAAGCCTGTGTGACTGGGAGCTAAAATCTATAGACTCTCTTAGCCCCTGCCCACTGAGGCTAACCTTTACATCACATGAAGATGTCATTTTGTAATACCAATGACAGAGTGATGACATGCATTTCCCTTTCCTTGTGTGGACAATAACGAGTTACGCCCAGGCATGTCTGACAGCGAAGTTCACGTGTTAGCCTCTGACGATTTAGAAAAAGGATCTGCTGTAATGACCTCCAACAAAGCACGATGCTTTCCAGTATATGTAAGAACATTGTTCCTGTCAAAAGGTAGAAACAACAGACTTGAGGTGAGTATAACCAGGATATGAAAAGTATATCGTAAAGTATAACTTTTTAAAAATTTTTTCTACATTTTTAAGCTGCTTGGTGTAACTTATATAATTGCACTGAGAAAAACTTGACTAACTCATTATTGAACTTTAATACTTAGTAGGCTAACACACAAATAAATCAAGACTTTTTTTTCTTTGTAGACTGATGGGGTACTGGAGCATTTGTGCAAAGTGTGTGGCACTGATAGCGATCTCAAATATTAAAATGTGATAGGCGTCTTTCCCAGACTGTTTCAGCACATTTTTCTGATTGCTGATTGGTCTTGGCCAGTATACTTGTGATCCCCCCACGTCCCCACCACCACCACCAAAACACTGTGCCATGTTCCAGTGAGATGGGCTGAATTTATGCACAGACAGATACAATGCAGTCTGTGATTTTGTCTTATGGGTGTTGCCCTTTGGTGGTTACCAAAGCCCTCTGGACAGCACAAATGTAGGAGTTACGACTGACACTCAAATGCAGTTTTTAACCAAATAAACGAGGAAAAAAATGTTTGCAAATGTGCAAATATTAGCACGAGTAAAAGAATTTAACATGGCTGCATTATATGTCATGTGAGTTATTTAAAACTGATGTATTCATTGTTACTGTTACAGGTTTCAGAACACTGGAGAATCACAGACTTTGTTCGGATACTACGGCCGCTTCACTGAAATGTTCTGAGCTGTGAAATTGGAAGAAAGTCTACAAATTCCTGAACTAAGTACAGTTTAATGATGATTACTGAGAGACAATGCGAGCACTTTAACTTCTCTTCGCTCCACTAGCAATTGGCGGCATCATCAAGCTTTGACTTCAAGGTTTTGAAATTCACTTTCTTTAATAACTTGCATGAATAAATTAACCAGTTGCAACCATCCAGTTCCAGCCATCTCCACAGAGACTAACATCATCTTTCTTCCATCCATTTCCCCCCACCCCATTTTCAAGTGTCAGAGTAAAGTGGCCTGGTGTACCGAACACTGTTAAGCATTTGCACTCATCATTTAATCATCACACCTCGTCCTTTGATTGATGCCTAATGAATGCCTGGGGTCTCGGTTTACAAGACGATTGCTAACAGAGCCTTGCTAATGGGTTTTGCCTGTCTGGCAGACAGCTAAGGGTGCAGGCAGAGAAGTCCGCATTTACACTGGAGCTTTAAAACCATTTACTCTAACATTTCTAATGCAGATATTGGACACTTAAAGTCACATATCCTGAGCCTTTCTTTCCGGTCAGGTCCGTTTGCATAAACTAAAACAGTTTTCAGCTCAGTGTAAACAAGACCACAGGTCATCTCTTTTCAAATACTTGAACAATTAGCAGCCACATCACTTTTTGCTAATGGGATCTAGCAGCAATGACCAGAAACTTGCTTTGAGCTTTATATCTCAAAAACAGCATGGAGATGCTTAGAGTGGAGATGCTCAGGCTGTGCCATTTCCCTACTCTTACTCTGGTCCACCTCTTGAGGACCCATCTGAACTTTTCAAAGAAAATGCTTAGAAAGACTTA